ACCATATCTTTAGTAGGGCTGGGACAATAAATCGATGCATCGCAAATCAAAAAATGATTCTGAGATTTTCCAAAGGCGTCGCGATTCTCTCTTGAATCGATTCTGAGCTTAGTTTTTAACAGCAGATGGCGCTGCGTGCTTTAGAAATAGCCGTATTCTGCTTGCTTCCAGTTCCTTACACACGCACCATTTAAACCTAAAATAATCATTCATAAAGTTCGAAAAGGTTGAAGCGAATTACAAGGATGTTCACAGTGGGCTGTGTTTACATTAATCTCGCATCATAAAAGCCGATGTGCAAGTACATTTACCCACTTACATTACTACTTGCACAAGCACTCCTCTTCGTGAGCATTTGAGTGTGAGGTTAAAAACTAGCCTAGAGCGCCATCTGCTGTTAAAAACTAAGCTCAGAATCGATTCGAGAGAGAATCACGATGCATTCCGAAAATCTCAGAATCGATCCACGAAACTCAATGCATCGATTTAATGTCCCAGCCCTAGTCTTTACAAAAAAACATTCAGTCCAAAGTTTAATGGGATAGTTTACCCAAAAAAATGACAATTCTGACATCATTTACTTGCATTCATATTGGAAGCCCGTTTCCGCCATTGAATAAAGTTGTCACAGTTCTAAGAAAAACGTCAGAATTGTGTACATTTTTTTATTTTATTTTTTAGTCTTTATTTCCTCAGAATTGGAATTCATAACTCTCAATTGTAAGTTTCGTTCAGAATTGCGAGATATAAAGTCACAACTGCAAGAAAAAAGTTAGATAAAATAGCAATTACCTTTTTTATTTTTTATTCAGTGGTGAAAACGGGCTTCCATACTCTCAAGCTGCTCCAAACCCGTGTTTGATACTTTGTAACCAAACAGCTGCTGGTAGCCATTGACGTTCATGTATTATTTTTTCTTCCCCATACTATGGAAGTCAATGGCTACCGCCAACTGTTTGGTTACCAACATTCTTCACAATATCTCATACACAAAGTTTTGGAACAACAAACATGTGGGTGAGTAAATGATGATAACATTTAAATTTGTGGATGAACTATCCCTTTAATACTTAATATTAGGGATGTCAATGAATGCGAGCAAAAGAAATAGTGATGAATGAGACATGATAGTCAAGTTGAGCTAAACTTTACAGCATGTTTTGCATTTAAAATGAGTGGTTTTAAAACAACGACTCAAGTAATTCCAGAATGCTACAGTGTAGTAAATGATAAAAGAGAAAGTGTAAAAGTACACCTTTGAGATCCTTATAATGGGTTTCTGACTTCCAGTGAGGAAAGATGCCAACTTAAACCAATCACGAATCAAAAACCTACCATTCATTCCATTTTGAAGTTATTTCGCAGCACTGAAAGAGAAATTCTAAAGATTTTTTAATGCAATTCTTATCAATACAGCAGCAATAACCACATCTACCAACTTCCACAAAACACAACATAATGAAAGCGCTACATATGAATCATATGCAATATTCAAATATTTCTGAATAAACATGACAGCTTTGTGTCTACCAATGTTTATTTTCCCCTTATGTCATTCAAAACTGTATAACATTTTCCTGTGGAGCACAACAGATGATATTTTGAGGAAGTCAATTGGGTCCACTGTCATTTCAACCCCAATGTACGTCAAATTGGGAATGACATGAGGCTGAGTAAATGACCACATTTTTCATTTTCGAGTGAAGTATATGCTTTTAAGTTGTTGTTTAATTCTTCCCCTCATAAGAAGCTTTGAAACATTATGATAGCATTATGATGTGTTGTTTGGAGCATACACATATGAACTTTTTTGAAATGCTTCAAAAACGGTGTTCCAAGCACAAAATAAATAAGAGCATTTTTAAGCAAACTATTCCTTTAACTTCGATCATGAAGGGTCAAACGGTTCATGGCAATTTTTCCCATATTAACATGAAAAGCCACTCATGCAGTTCCTCAATTACTACATTGTGAAGCCCGAGCCAAACATGCTTGAACACACATGACCAAATCACATCTCAAGGCCGTGTTAACGGGGCAAACGGGAGCAAGAAGTTTCATTGGTGAAATGCAGAAATGGGTCATTGTTGCATATGAAAGCATCGCTGCCACATGGCTGCTCTCCTGTCAGAGAACAACGTGTCTTTTGTTTTCATCAGTTTAAACTGCTCATGGTAAACATATCCTGAGATCCCAGCAGCGCACCGCCACGAATCCCAGTCGCAGTTGACAGATTAGCGTGATTGCTAAATCAACAGTAGATTGGGAAGCGTTAATCTGAGCTGATCCAAATGGACGTGCATCAGGGTGCAGACGTCTCGCGGAGCCGGGCCCGTCCATTAACTCCAGCCTGATCCTTTTATCTCTTCACTAGCCATCATTCCCTCCATCACTCTCCACCTCCTCCACTTCCCCTCGGGAAAAGTAAAAGCAGACCGGGATCCAAAACGGTTTCTCTTACGTGGACATTTTTTCAATTACTTGGTCACGGACGGGCCGCTCTGGGACGCCAACATTGCAAGAGTCGGAGAAGTTAAAAAAATCTTTTTATTTGTCCTTGGATACAATTTTTATGGGCAGGAGGCCACCTCTCTCACAGACCCAACATATAAACTATACTATAGAACACCAAAGAGGGTCATCCCATTTGCCTACTTAAAAAAGAAATAAAATAAGACCGAGTAATATAACAAAAAAAAAAAGAAAAAAAAAAAAAAAAACATTTTTCTACTTGGCCCAAACTTCTTACTGGTCCAATCAATCAATACATTTGATGAAAAAGTTAAATATAGGCATGTGGAAAAAAAAAAAAAAAAAAAAAAAGTTTAATAAGTAGTTAATTTTAAAACATTTTATAATATATTTATAATTTTTAATAACTTTTGTTACACGCTAATGTTTAGTATTTTTTAATAATATCTTAAATTATTATTATACACTAACACACATAAATATATATTTTTTTCACTAAATAATGTGTTTTAAATGCAAAGCATGAAATTATACAGTAATTCCAAATAAACCGGAATAAATTAATGAACACTACCAGTATTTCTGGAAAATGATGGCATGCGTGGGGAAAAAGAAATACTGATTGTTTATCATTTTCAACCCATTCTTACTGATACTACCAAGATTATCACAAGTCATTCTTGCAATTTTGACAAAGCTATGTCAGCCAAAATATCAACCTATCAAATATAAAAGAATGAAAAGCAGAATTCACAATGGCCAAAGATATAAGGCTGATATAGCAAGTGGCACTTCTGTCAACCACAGACCATCTTTAACGCTTCAGGCACTCTAGATAGCGCTATCAGCATCGCTCGAGCACCAGTATACAGCCAGTAGTGAAAGCATGAACACAGGCCTAGAAGAACAAGCCCAGATCAGCAGGACAACTAGTTCCTCGTCGTGTAAAGCATATTCCTCAAGGTTGGAGGTTCGATTTAATTTGAATTAAATCGATTTCCTTCACAAGGCCTACTGCTACAGGAGCTTGAGGAGAACCAGTTTGACCTTGAGAGGAAAGGGAGGAGGGGCAGAATGCAAGAGAGGGGGGGAGCGCATGCATCACGCCCAGGAACACCCATCCCACTGAAGAAGAGCTGAGCTACTGCAGAGTTTAGCATCACAAACCCCACCGGGCTGCTTGTCTGACCCGAGTCCTGCAACTACCAGGAAATAGCTTCATGCAAAGCCGGTTACCAAGCAACTGGGTATTTAAGAAATTGCTCCCCACCCCCACCCATAATTATGGACACTTTGCAGCTTTGAGGAGAATCTACATGCAAACAGTGCATTGCAAAACAAGGCCAGATAGAATAAAAGATGCGATCAAAAAAGAGAACAGAAGGCATCTCCTCCTCGAGCTTCCTCAGTGAAGCAATTGTGTCAAGGGACGTGGAAATGTCCTCTTATCGTCTCAAGCAGGGCTGTGAACCTCAGCAACGCTCATTTGCATATCGAATGAATGCGGAGGCTACGTCACCACGGCCGCGAGTGATTGACAGCCGAAACATTCCAGAAGAACGCACGCGCTGCTACTAACAATATCGAATATGGCAACATTCCGAATTAAATGTTTCGATTTTTTGCGCCTGTTCTCCATTTCCCGCAGTGTTTTCTCCAAACAGGTAAAATCTCAAAGTAGAGACGCTAAATGAACCCGAGGCAGGTGCGAGTTAGCAGCCGCCATTCGTGGAGTTGCGAATAATCGACAAGCGTTATATATTTAGCATACAAATGATTATTATAAATGATAATGTGACAGGCCTGCTGTAGAGAGAGTAGTGATGACATTCAGGAAAGCTATTCATAGACCTCGAGCCTCCTGTGAAACTGCAGGACACAAACGCGAAGGAATATCTGCCGCACTGTTCAATTAAAAGCCGATCACTCACGGAAATCCCCGATGTTTGACGGGGTTTCATCTCGAATGTGTCGATTAGGCGCTGGAGTTCAGTCATAGAGGTAATACTCTGCAGCAAGCGGAGGAATCATGTGTAGGCTAGTTACTAAGATTTTAAATCGAAACGCCCTCTCTATAAAGCTTTATCCAGGATCTGTTTATTTATTTCGAATTATGGCAGGGATGTAACTCCATACTATTTTAGCTGACTTGAGGTTTCTTGAAAGAGGGGATATGCCATCGATTGCCAGAGCGTTTACAGGCATCTCGGTTTACAGCTTATGGATGTGTTTTAAACGGTGACATTGTTGTATATGGCTTGACATGTATGCATCTCAAGGAATCCCGCAGATGTGTGGTGCACGCTGCCACATGCGACCAGCAGAGCCATAAATCTCGGTTTGCTGTAAGAAACCCTTTCAATGCAACCCAGCTTTGCATTATGGTGCAATTCAGTAAAACACCGCAAATTTTGCGTGCCACAAAACGCACACCTACATCATAGGTAGTTTCATATTTCTGAGATCTGAACATCAGTTTTTAGGGCGTGCAATTGACAGTTGTCAAAAACAACAACACGATTACTCACCCCAGCTGCTCGCGGTGCGCCCGATGAATTCCCCAGTCCGAGGGTTGTAGATAAAATCTTTCCAACTCGACTGTTTCTCGTCAGCTTTCTCCTCTTTGTTGGCCATGGCACGAATAAGATGAATAAACCAGTTTGAGGACGATGAATGAGGACAAATCAAAGAAAGCGCCAATTCGGGCTCGCCACCTAGGCGTTATGAAATAAATGAGGTGTGCAGTCTTTCCGCGCGGCTCCAGACTGCAGCAGTCCGCGGGTCGGGCTCTCCACTAGCGGCGTTTAAAGCGCTCGGGCGCATGCGCAGTAGAGCCGCATCCAAGTGCAAAAATAGAAAATGTTGAAAATAGCAACTTAAAAAATAACTTTTCTAAAATGTATTCATTACGGATTAAAGTTTTTTTTCTTCTTCTTTTTCTTGAAACACCTACAAACCTATGAATAAATTATCATCATCATCTTAAATAATTACTAAGATCTCTCAGATCTATCTCTTTTTCTCTGGCCCTACAGAATAACCGCAAATTTTTATTCTAAACAGCATAAAAATCATACATTTATTTCATATTTAGTTTAAGGATCTGGGGCCCGTTCTTGGTACCTCGCTTAATACATCGGAGATGATTTGAAAGATGCCAGATCTTCTAATCGTGATAACTGATCTCTGGCTAATTTGGTTCTTCAAACTAATTTGCGGATCTGATTAAAATATCTGGATTAAGTTGTCTGAGTTTAATGCGTGTTCTCCGTAAAGGGCAGATGTATCGATACCCGAAACCATGATCAGCAATGCAGCGATTGGCTGGCAACGTAATGACATCATATAATTAAAAAAGACACCTGACAAAACTTGACAAATTGCTGGACCTTTATGAGGAAACAGCCAAGCGAACAAAACTACATAAATGTTATAATAGATCAATGAAATGTGCACTACTACTTTTATTTATTCATTACATGATTCCAAATTATTTATATTCACGATTTCTAGTATTTGTGCAGGCTTTACATTTTTATTTCAATGCTGTAATTAGCAATTCATGTAATTTTATCTTTGAAGCAGATTTGTTATGTGACAGCATTAAAGGGGTCATATGATGCGATTTCAATTTTTTCTTTCTCTTTGGAGTGTTACAAGCTCTTGGTGCATAAAGAACATATTCTGTTACACCAAATACACAAAATAATAGCATCATATGACCCCATTAATGCACGACTCAGATCAATTGTACAGCATGTGTGTAAGACTCGAATACAATTATAAAGTAATTATTTGATCACGAATACATCTTTCAATAAGTAAAACTGGCTGTGTCTATAGTATTATAGATTACACAATATTATATTATTATTTTCAACAACATTTTTAAATTATTATTATTTTAAATTATTGTCACCGGATTAGTGGGGTACTCTTGTAATAAAGTAGCAGTGGCTGGGATAGATTTTAAATATCAATTGCACTTAAAAAGATGCAGTCTAATCCTGTTTACATGAAATAAGCCTGCTCCCGAGCAGGTTTAAGTTTACAGACCTGTTGCTATGACAGCAAGTCCAGGATGAGCTTCAAAGAACCAAATAATTCAAGATCATGTCAAATCATCAACAATCAAATCCAGCTAACAGAGTTAGCAACGCACGAAGAACAGGCCCCTGATCTGATGCACTTATGTCAAGTATATTTAAAATCTGTTAAATTCACATGAAGTATTGGTCTTGTGAACATAACCCAGTACTTACAAGGATATAATTTGCAATGCTGCTGAAATTATTTATTTTTATAGAATATCACGGTTTGATAATCGGTAATATTAATAATACCATGTTACAGCTTTGAAGCATTGAGTTTTTAAACCTTCATTTTTTTTCTAGACCACACCACAACACAGGTAACCAAAATTATATGTTTATATATGTATACATGTACATACAGTTACATTGCAAACCAAAATTCATTAGTTCTATTGGGTTGAGTTGGTTTAAAATGGCGACCTGAGTGGATCAGGACTGTTTCCTTTCCATCTGCCACACTCAGTGCGAACAAAAACTCTCAACAAGACTACATCTCCCAACATGCAACATTCAAATAGCTTGAGGCAACAGGCTGGCAGCTATCTGAACCCGGAACAGCAGATACAACCACCCATGTTTTATTTTTCTTCAACTATTGCGATGAATGACAAGGAATAAACTATACGATACAACAAAATGACATTGAATCGACCAATAAAAAAAGAACATTTTTCCATTTTTTGAAATGCAAGGATGTAAATTCCCTCCAGTCGGTGAACAGTAAGATCAGGACGTTGCTTTCCAATCCCTAGGAAAAGAAAATAAAGTGGCACTAGACCACTGGACTACGCAGATATCGTCATATTCAAATATGACCGAAATAAATACATTTTTGGGAAGATTTTGAACGTCTCTCTGGGTAGGGAGCAGAGAAGAGTAGTACACTGAGATGACAGTTGAACTGAAGATGTCTTAACCTTCACTTATTCGCTCTCCTCTATGGCCCGACCCACGGTTCGCTAGCCAAAAAGCACCAGAAAAATACAGTAACCCATCTCCCCCAGAACCAAAGACTCCTGGTGTTTGTGCCAAACTGGGAAAGAGGAAGAAAGAGATGATGAGGGAAGTTAAAAATATGGTAATATAGAGAGGAGTGGCAGCTTATTTCCTGTGTAGCGTTTCCTCCCCGGCTCGGCTCAGGATCACTCTGGGGAAGAGGGATTGTCATCGTCTTCATCATCATCCTCCTCTTCCTCGTTGAAGGAGCTGGGCGTCTGGCCGCGGGACTCTGAGGTGTGTGACGGGGCTGTGCTGCTGTGACTGTGAACAGAGAGAGAGACGGGATGTCAGCTAAACGACAGCCTGATTGAAAGCAGCGGTCGGTATATCTGAGGATGCTGTGCTGACTGACATACCTTGTGTGGCTCAGAGGTGTTCTGTTGGAGTTTGTGGCCATGTCTGTAGGGACCGAATCACATGTTTTGTTTAGAAACCCGTATTAAAGGGATAGTTAACCCAAAAATGAAAATTAGCCCATTATTTAGAAGCAGCTCCGGAAGGATGACGTAAGATGTCGGCGTTGCGCATGTGCCGGTGAGTCTCGTGAAAACCAACGTTTGTTAACAGGAGCAAAGGAAAACCAGTCTCCTCTTGGCTTATATCGAAATCCTCCGACATTCTTCTTTACAAATCCTCGTTTTGTACTTCTAATTTTTGTTTGTCTCTCCCCTGCGCTTCCGCGTTCGTCACTTCTGAGCGGCGCATGCTCAACGCCAACCTCATACGTCATCAGCCCGGAACTGCTTCCGTGTACAACAGTGAGCGCAAGCTAGATTAAATTGATTATTACGTTTTAAATAATTTTTCTTACAAAAACGCATCGCTACAGGGCGCCTTTGTTCACCCCCCGGAGCCGTGTGAGACACTTTTTATTATGGATGGATGCGCTTTATTTCACTTCTTTTGGACTGATGCACTGCAACACCCGCTGACTGCCATTAAACAGCTTGGAAGATCAAAGACAATTTTGAATATAACTCCGACTGGATTCTAAAAAGAAAAGACTGAAAGAAGAAAGTCATATACACCTAGGATGCCTTGAGGGTGAGTAATTCATTCAATTAACTCTTTAAAGACAGCAACTCGACACGCATAAATGAAACGCTGCTTTATTTGCACAGGAAGGACGTCTGTGGCTGAAGGGTAAAACGGAGACTGATATAGAAGATGAAACAACTGAAAGGACGTTTTATCAGAGCATACATGTGTGCCATGAGATACTCACTGGTCACATACGCTTCCAGAGACTTGGGCACCAGAGATGTGGCCACGCTGAGGTTCTCTGGAGAGCATGTGCCGTTCTCGAGCCCCAGAGACATGCCCATCCGCTTCAGGATCTCAACGTCATCATGGATCTCAAATGTGTTGTCAAAGTTAAAGAGGTATTCACACCTGTTTGAAGGAACGAGTTCGTTTTTAAGTCAAATATACTATTATTACAGTTGGTGCATAAGTAACAAGATGCATGGGTAAAGTAAAGGTCCAATAACAATACACTACCATTCAAAAGGATTTTTTTGAAAAGAAATAAATTCTGATATTCAGCAAGAATGCATTCAATTAATCAGTAAAACATTTATAATGTTACAAAAGTTTTCACAAACACGCATACATACATATTCATATAGAATAAATCTGTTTATTTTACTAGGTTTATAAAAACTATCTTTTGTAGGTTTTCTACAAAAGAGAGAAAGGGAGAGAGAGAGGCAAGAAAAATGGAGAAAAGAAGCCAAATAGGTGGAGAACGAGATCCCGTACTTATCACTCGAGATGGAGCAGTCGATGACGGTGCGGATGTCAGTGTTGAGTATGATAAAGGGAAGCTGAATGACAGATCCTGGAGGGGGAGTTGACTGGGACAAGGCTTCGCTGGCCTGGTTCCTCTGCACCAGATTCTTAAAGGCGATCTGCTGCTCACGGAAAGACATGCACAAATCAGCACACATATACACAGAGAGTTTCGGCCCTTAAGGGTCCACTCATTAACCTTAAATCAGTCAGCATGTTGATAAATAAAAGCTTAGTGTGGTCATAGCACTAATATATGCACACAGATGCTAACTCGGTTCAGTCTCGGGACGTGTGGGGGTTGGTCAACGACTTGAACCAAGCCAATGCATTTAATTTAGCGCTCCAGGCCTCCCAGCTTAAGGACAAGTCCTGATCAATATCCCAGCAGGACCAAGGCCTCTTCTGCTCTGTCCACACATCTATGGCCTCATCCCTGTGATCTGTTGCATTGCACGCCGTATCATTTACGGTCATCTATAGTAACGCCACACATCAACACAAACAGACAGCAGTGATTTCCTGAGATTCTGTGTGTGGGCTTTAATTTGACTGCAGGAGATGGATGGTGTTCTCATCTCACTTCAGAAAGAAAAATGAATCAATATTAGTGGTTTGCTGCTTTTCCACAGCTGGCCACAGTTAATGAGTCCCTCCCCCTCTCATCTGCTGCTTTTACTCATCCTTTGGAGTGATGGAGTGAGGCTGGTTGGCGTTGATGACGAAAATATTTTTTCAGCAGATTTTGGGTTACATGTTGTTCTGATGCATTGCTATTCTCGATTTAAAAACTTGAGAATTGATTCTCAGCTTTTTTGTTTCCATGTGCAATGACATTTGTGTGCGCTATAGACAACTGTATTTTGCTTTCTGACAATAGGCGCGTTTCCATTACAGATTTGCGCAAAACTTTGGCGATATTTTATAAATGTCGATAAAAA